GGAAGCAGTGAATCAGCTGGCAGCCATCAGTGCCCAAAGGGACCCCCTCCGGGGGGTTGGGGGGACTTACAGAAAACAACAATAAAGGATTGGGGGGTGGACGGGGCCAATGGGGCCTGCTGAGCGGGGTGGGGGAGGGGAGGGGGCATGCCTCAATGGGTTCCCGGGGCTCCAATACCCCCACTCTGCTGAGCCTGATTCCCAGGTGGGGAAACTGAGGCACAGGGATCAAATGACTTGCCCAAGCCCCTCCAGCCATGATGGGGCAGGCAGAGGCCCCGGAAGTCCTTGGTAAAAGGTTTTGGGGGGGCGTCCCCTCTTCCTGCTCTCCTTTTGGAGGACGAAAGGAGTCTGGTCCACTTCATGGCTCCAGATGTGGACATACGACCAGGTCCGGCCAATTAGAGCCTTTTGTGACCACAGACTCAGGGACTGGTTCAGGAATAGGCATGTGACTCTGGGCCAATCGTGCTGGGACATTGGGGGGTTCCCAGAGTTGCTGATAGGCCTGGAGGTGATAATAAAGAGGGGCAGAACAGAGAGTTCCAAGGCTATTGTGATGGAATCCACAGACACCCCTTCCCTGGAGGGTCCCGGGAGGGCTCCCAGGAGGAGAGGCCACTGGAGTTGGGGTTTTGATGGGTGAAGAGGAGTTCACCAGGGAGGTAGAGAAGGGCATTCCAAGAGAGGGCAGCCGCGGCTGTGTTTATTTGCTCCTAGGCACCCCCACGAGCCCCCTAAGGGTGAGACCACCTCTTTGCCGGCAGCCTTGTTGGCAGCTGACGTTCCATTAACGTTTGTGGCGTAGGTGGCCCTTGTCTGGGGACGCAGATGAGTGAGATGGGTGGGCCGTGAATGGGAGAATGGGATTCAGGGGGCCAGAGAGCCCAGGGGCGGGTCAGGGTGGCCCCGGGGGGGCCTGGGAACAGCACCGCGGTCCCAGGCAGGAGGGGGCACTTCCCGTCTCCCCGTCTGTGAGCCCCCAGTCCTGGGCATGGCCCTCCAAGGGGAGGCAGGTGGGGGCCTCTGCCTTCCTGTGCGACCCTGGGATGGTGACGGCACGTCTCCGGGCCTCAGTTTCGTCATCTGGAACCTGACTTCGCGGTAGGACAGGGTCGGTACCGGGCACAGAAGCAACACCAGGTCTGCGGGACCGGATGGGGTGTGCTGAGCCAGTGGAGGAGGGGCTGGGCCGTCCAACACATTCCCTCAGCAGTTCCTGGCCTCTTTGAAAACAGGAAGCTGGCTCTCAAGGGAGCCCCCCAGCAGCGCTTCCTGAGCCTCCTCATGATGCGTGCTGGGGGGGGAGGGAGGGGGGAGGGGGGGGGAGGTGCCGTGCACGCACATGCGTGTTTGCAGGCGGCCTGGAGACGAGTGAAGCCCACCAACGCGTGCACACGTGTCTGCGTGTCAGCTTTGTCCGTGGAGTTACCCGGAAGCACGTGCCCATGGTGCGTGTGCTTGAATGTGGGTTTGCACACGTCGGCCAATACGGGAAGCAAACGCGGGCTGGTGGGTGCATTTGTGAGTCTGGGTCTAGGTGGCGGGCATCGGTGTCTATCCGCAGTGGGGACCGGGGAGTGCTGGCGGGAGCTAGCCAGTGGGGGGAAACACCTAAGGGTCAGTGACGGTCTGCAGTCACTCAGCCACAGGGGCCAGAGGGGGCCAAACTGGGGCCTCCTCACGCCATGTTCCTGAGAGGCTTTTCACTTGCCTGCAAACTTCTACTCATCCTTCAAAACCCCATCTCGCCTGGGTGGCTCAGCGGGTTGGGCATCTGACTTCGGCTCAGGTCACGATCTCACGGTTCGTGAGTCCGAGCCCTGCGTCGGGCTCTGCGCTGACAGCTCGGAGCCCGGAGCCTGCTTCGGATTCTGTGTCTGCCTCTCTCTCTCTCTGCACCCCCTCCTCTCAAAAATAAATAAACGTTAAAAAAAATTAGAATAAGAAAACCCCATCTCAAATACCCCTTTTTTCTAAGCCAGTCCTGACGCCATGGGCTGAGGGCATTTCGTGTCTGGCCATGTCTATCCCCTCTGGATGCTGAGGGGCATCGCCAGGAACACAGGGCCATGTTCCCCACATGCTGACTTTCTGGAGTTGGCCCAGATTCCTTTGCCATACCTGATCCCCAGGAGGGGGACTCCTGCTGCCATATCATCCTCAGGACCTGCCAACCCCGGTGGTTTAGAAGGTCGGGCAAGACATTTCCACTTGATCCACAGGCCCATGTGTTCCGGAAAGTCCCCCGCCCAGGCCTGTGGGCTTTCTGGCCTTGGCCCACAGCAGTTCAATGCCAGTCTGCTTTGTCTGTAGGATGGACCAGAGGTTTTCCAAGGCCCAGGCCGTGTGATGGGGGTTTCTCGCTGGTGTCTCAGTGTGCCAGCCCCAGGGACGCCATGGGGGGCTTCGAAACAAGGCTCAGATCCCATCGCTCACGCCCCCTCCCCCAAAGCCCACCAGGCCCTCTGTGGCCTCGCCCCGCAGCCTCTATCACAACAGATTTAGGCCTACCTCAGGGCCTTTGCACTGTTCCTTCTGCTCAGAGAGCCCTTCCCTCGCTCCCTACCTTCTCCTCCTTGATCTAAGTTCAAGTGTCCCCTCCTCAGAGGCCCCTCAGCCTGACCAAAGCTGCCGCTCTCTCAACCCCTCCCTTCCGCCTCTGGCCATTCATAATTACCACATATCTGTGGCTTCATGGCCATCCTCCACCTCTCCTCTGTAATGGGACCTCCAAAAGGAGGGGGCGGGGCATAACGCCCCTCCCCCAAATGGGAGCGTTTCCCAGCATCATGTCTCACCCTTTCCTTCCAGACTGGGCCTAGAAGTTTCCTCATTCTGGCTGTTATCAGCCAACAGCATAGATGGGAAATCCCAGGGAAGGAGAGGCGGTGTCCCCGTGTCCAGGCAGAGCATACTCCTCCCCCTACGTGGCCAGAGCTCCACCTCACCTGCGGGAGAACGTCCGGCTCTTAGGCTCGGAGTTCAAGGTCCAGCCCGCGTATGGCAAAAACCCTTCCTCTTCCTTTCCTTAATTCTCAGCTGCTGTCAGAGACCAACTATTTGCTGCACTGAGCATGTCAGCACATCGGGCTGAGTACAAAGCAAGGGACTCGTTTGCACGGTATATGCACGTTGCGGACCGACGAACTCATAGTCGGCCCCGTACGTAAACGCCGTTGCTTGTTGGCTACTGACAGCCGCGTAGAGAACAGAGGCTGCCCAAGCGCTTAGATCAGGGGTTGACAAACTTTTGCTATAAGAAGTCACATAGTATGGGGCACCCGGGTGGCTCAGTCGTTGGAGCGTCCGACCCTCGCTCTCAGCTCAGGTCTTGATCTCAGGGTCAGTTTGTTTTGCTTTGTCTTTAACGTGTGTTTATTTATTTTGAGAGAGGGCGTTCGCATTAGCGGAGGAGGGGCAGAGAGGGGGAGAGAGATTGGGAATCCCCAGCAGGCTCCCTGTTCCACGCTGAGCCCGACGCGGGGCCGGACCTCATGAACCCCGAGAGCCGGTGGCCCAAGCCAAAATCAAGAGTCCGCCGCTTAACCCGCTGAGCCACCCGGGCGCCCCTCAGGGTCATGACTTCAAGCCCCACGTTGGGCTCCATGTTGGGCCTGAAACCTACTTAAAAAAAATAAAATAACATAGGGGCGCCCGGGTGGCTCCATCGGCTGGGCGACCGACTTGGGCTCAGGTCGCGATCTCACGGGTCGTGAGTTCGAGCCCCGCGTCGGGCTCTGCGCTGACCGCTCGGAGCCTGGCCAGCCGTTCCCTTGAAAGCAGCCATAAACAATACACAAATGAGGGGGGGGCGTGGGCAGTGTCCCAATAAAACTTTATTTACATAGTTTGAATTTCATATAGTTGTCGTGTGTCCGGAAACCTTCCTTCGGTACGTTTGTAATCCTTGCAAAAGCGTAAAAGGCACATCTAGCGTGTGGCCAAAGCTACATCGTTTGCCAACCCCTGGATGAGACCTTCAGTGGGTAACAAAGTATCGGGAGTGGTCGTCTTACAAACACTGCAGCTCCGCTTAAAGGATTGCAGGTCGCCAGCGAGGAAATTTTAGAGCAGGGTAGACGCTTAATGGCGTCTGACCCCTGACAGGCGACAGGTATCATGCTTGATGTTTACGAAGCATTAGATCGGAGCAAGTGAGGGTGGCTCCCTGGGTGTCAGGACCCAGTTTAAGTTGG